AAAAAAAAATTTAGTACATGTTTTCAGTACATGTAGTTTATATAACTGTCTTGGGAAGTGGGTACCTGTATTACTACCGCTTGTTTCTTTCTTTTAATCCCTTTCTCCTTCCTCACCCCCCAATTGCTTTATATTCATTCTTATATATGTCCTTAATCTTAGCTCGTATTATGGCATGTGATTTTTACATTCATTGAGATTATGAGGTGCTGTACACTGCATATCTTTATTTTACTTTTCCCTTGTTTCCTTGGGCTAGTTTTCTGTTGCTAGAGATCCATCCTCGTCTCCTTCTTCCATCCTTTATTACTATTTGTACTTTGCCTGACTCAAGAGATACCCTGTGGTATTTAGGCTTGTGCATCTCATTTATTTAACTCAACATTATATTTTTCAGGTGCATCCATTTTCCCACAAATTTCTCAAATTTGTCATTTTTTATAGCTCAGTAATATTCCATTATATATACATAACACATTTTCTTCATCCAGTCATCTGTTAATGGGTATATGGGTTGCTTCTAGTATTTAGCTGTCACAAATTGTTCGCTATAAACATTGGTGTGTGCATGTATTGCTAAAGTATGATGTCTTTACCTCTTTGGGGAATATACTTGGAAGATTAGAAGAGTTGTATGGAATTTCTTATTTCAACTCTGAGAAATCTCCACACTGATTTACATAATGGTTTACTAGTTTACATTCCCACCAATAATGAAGGGGGTTTCCATTTTTACCACGACCATGCCACCATTTGTTATTGTTTGATTTCTCAATGACTGTCATTCTTTTCAGAATAAGGTGGAATTTTAGCATGGATTTTAATTTGTGTTTCTCTAATGGTCAGAGATGATTATTTGTATTTTCTTTGGGAAGTGTCTGTTTATTTCTTTTGCCCACTTATTGACTGGGTCTTTAATTTCAGGTGGCTTTTTTTAAAGTTCTTCATATATTCTAGATATTAGTCCTCTGTCTGAGGAGTGGATGGCAATTTTTTTTCTCATTTTATATGTTGTTGCTCAAATTTGCTTTCATTATTTTGGGTCTCTTCTGATTCCATAAGAATTTTAGGATTATTTTCTCTAGTTCTGTGTCTAGTCTGTGTCATTGCTGAGACAAAACACTGAGCACAAAGTCAAAGCAGGAAAAGTTTATTTAGCTCACATTTTTTGACAGTTTCATGGCATAATCAGCTGGCTTCAAGGCAGAGTGGAACATGGTGAAGAGGCAACCACTGATGGAGGTAGAAGACAGCGAAGCAACCAGTGAGAGAGGAAAGGATGGACACACCTCTTTCTGTCCCTTATATTGTATGTAGGCTACTGCATTCACAACCTTAACTAGCCCTGGCCCCCATGACTGCATGAGATTTCGGTGGGAAAGCCTTGTCTTGTCTTCCTGTGCTCCTATATGCATCTGTATTTCTCTCTCTCTATATCTGTCTGTCTATCTATCTATCTATCTATCTATCTTGATTACAAACATGCAGGACATGAATTTCTACTCTGGCTCAAGGCCCCTAAAGTCAGACTCTGACTGCCTACTATTAAAGACCAGTATATCTCGTTTCTGTTTTTGCTTTTGATGGTAGTTGTGAGTGTGCCTGGAGATTTCTTCTGCTAAAGCGAGCAGTACTTCACCAAATGTGTATATGTGGATCTGAGTAAGACAGACTGGGGTTGCTCTAAGTCTTGATGACCCAGTCTGTTGGAACCTGAAATCTTTGGCATGAATTTTTTTCTTAATGATTAAAGACAACATTTGCCACAGTACATGGCTTGTTTTTTCAGCATATTAACAAGTTATATACTAAGAAATGAGTTTTATGGTTAGTTTTAAACATTTCATTTATGGTTAGTTAAAATAGTTTTCTTATGGGAAATAAACAAAATTAAAAAAATAAAATTATTAAAAAGCAAAAAAAGTTTTCTTCAAGTCTTTTCAGAGCCTTTAATATATTATTTTTCATCCTAAATACCCCAAAACTGTATATAGATATTGATACTCAGAATATACAGTGTCTCTCAATTCCATCCATTTTATAAAGCATCTTTAGAATTAATTTAAAGGAAATATATTGGAAAAACTGGTTTAGAATGTTTGCTTTGTTGAAAAATACTAGCAAATATAAAAATACTGATTTTTGTTTTGGGAATTTATTTCTTTACTCTCTGGTAAGAGCACTGGAAAATATAAAACATCCATACTTGGTGCTTCATTGAAACATACATACTATGGGACCAGTAACATTGGAAATAATGTAAGACAATTAACCCTTTTTAGTTTGCTCAACAAATAAGGTGGGCTGCCTTCCTTCTTTCTTCTAAGAGTAGAAGCAGAAACATGATCTTAGGATAAATGTAATGACTTATAATCCAGATTCTTAACAAGATTGCTAGTTATTCTCCTCTATAGACAAGCATAGCAGTGTCATATTTAAGTGACATGGCTTTGCCACCTTTCATTATTGGTTGGAGGATTTTCTTAGGAGCCTGGATCCTGAAAGACAGCCTGGGAAGCATCTCTGGATTGTCACAGACCAATTCTACACAGTTTAAGTAATCACCTAATCACTTAGGTGATGAACTAACAGTTATTGTTGTTGTTTTCTTTCAGATATTTTCTACAAAGTGGAGATGCCATCTCAGTACTGCTTGGCCTTACTAGAACTAAATGGAATTGGCTTTAGTACTGCAGAGTGTGAAAGCCAGAAGCACATCATGCAAGCCAAGCTGGATGCAGTTGAGAAGCAGGCCTATCAACTCGCTGGTCACAGTTTTTCCTTTACCAGTTCAGATGACATTGCAGAGGTGAGGTCATGGGGACAGGAAAGCTAAACAGTACTTTTTTGAGTAAAAGTGATATGTGTTTCCTAAATGTGTTTACCAAAACACCAAAAATCAGTACAAATTAGGCAGAATGGAAATAGAATATTCTAGCAGCTAATTAATAGTTATATGTATATGTATGAGATAGGAAAGTACACTCCTTTTTAATTTTTGAAATGAACACATTTATTTATTTATTTATTTATTTATTTATTTATTTATGGCGGAACTAGGGATTGAACTCAGGCCCTTGCGCTTGCCAGGGAAGTGCTTATTCCACTGAGTCATCTCCCCGAGCCCGGAAAAGAACACTTCTAAAGTACACGCTCCAATAAGAAATTTGGCTGTGTCAGTGGAGAGATTCACTACATAAGATATAATTGAAAAATACAGTGAAATTAAATTTTAAAAAAATTATTGGTGGAAATGATACATTGCCACACTCTTTTCCCTCAAAATACTTCTCCTTATTTCAAACACACTTATTCCCTCACTCTAGCCACTTAATGAAGCTGGCGTGGAGGTTCCTCTGTTGTGTTTTTAGTTGTGCTTTGTAGCAGCTTATTTAAAATATTTAAGTCTCATGATCCTTTTTACCTTGAGAAGAACTAGAAGTCCCATGGTGCCAGATCAATAAATAAGGTGGATGCGAACACCCTATGTTTTTATGAAGCCACCTCTTGATTGCATGGTATTTTGTAGCAATATTCACCATATTTTTGATCACACCATATAAGACACAAAAGAAGAGTTCTGTAACTTGTTGAAAGCAGTCCTAAGACAGGAGTTTATAGCTGAGAATGTCCACATCAGAAAAACAGAGCAAGCCCAATGCATTAATAACTTAATGATACACCTCATGGACTTGGCAAAACAAAAACAATACAACTCCAAAGCTAATACAAGGAAGGAAACTATAAAGATCAGAGTGGAAATTAATGCAATTGAAGTTAATGAAATAAATACAAAGAATCAAAGAGCTGGCTCTCTAAAAGAATAAGCAAAATAGAAAAATGCTCGGCTAATCTTATAAAAAGAAAGATAATACCCTTATCAATTAGAAATGAAAAAGGTAAAATCACAATGGACACCACTAAAATCTAAAAGATTATTAGTAGTAATTACCTCAGAAACTGTACTCAAATAAGTTGCATAATCCAGAAGAAATGGACAGATTCCTAGATATGTATGAAATAATTAAACTAAAAGGATTTTAAAAGTCCAGAATAGTTCTTTTCTGGCTGGAACCATGGAGGGCATCAAAGAGAAGAAAAAGAAGGCTCCTGCTGTTTTAGAAACCCTTAAAAAAAAGCAAAGACATTTCACAGAATTGAAGATAAAGTGCCTAAGAAAGACGTTTACCCAGAAGACGCTTCACAAGGTGAGGAGAAAGCTCATCTATGAAAAAGCCAGGCACTATCATAAGGAGTACAGACATGTGCAGCTGAGATCCGAATGGCTAAGATGGCAAAAAAAGCTGGCAATTTCTCTGTCCCTGCAGAACCCAAACTGGCATTTGTCATCCAGATCAGGGGTATCAGTGGTGTGAGTCCAAAGGTCTGCAAGGTGTTGTAGCTTCTTTGCTTTCGCCAAATCTTCAATGGTACCTTTGTTAAGCTCAACAAAGCTTCAGATAGCATGCTGAGAATTGTGGAACCATATATTGCAGGGAATATCCAAGCCTGAAGTCAGTAAATTGATTAATATACAGGCATGGCTATGGCAAAATCAATATGAAGCAAATTGCCTTTGAGATAATTCATTGATTCCTCAATCTCTTGGTAAATATGACATCATCTGCATGGAGGATCTGATTTATGAGATCTATACTGTAGGAAAATGCTTCAAAGAGGCAAATAACTTCCTGTGGCTGTTCAAGTTATCTGCACAAGGTAGAACGAAGAAAAAGACCACGTATTTTGTGGAAGGTGGAGATGCTGGAAATAGGGAAGACCAGATCAACAGGCTTATTAGAAGGATGAACTAAGGTATCTACCATGGTGTATTTACGATTTGGTCAATTAATAAAGTATCTGCTTCCAAATTGAAAACAAGCCCAGAATAACCTAATAATAGGAAATGAAAGTGAGGCAGTAATTAAAAATTGACCAGTTAAGAATTACCTGAGGTTCGATGGATTCATTGGAGAATTCTACAAGAACTGTAGGGAAGATATAATGCCAATATTCCTTAAATTCTTTGACCAAGTTAAAAGGAAAGGCGTATTGCCAAAGTCATTCTTGGAAGCTAACATTGGCTTGATTCCAGAACTAGATAAAGACTTAACTAAAAAACTATAATCCAGTCTCTTTAATGAACATAGGTTCAAAGATCCTGAACAGGATAATGGCATATATAATATAATTTAAAAATCATCAAAAAGATCATACATCATGACCAAGTAGGATTCATCTCAGATTTTCTAGGATGATTCAACATACCCAAATCCATAAATATATATCACATAAACAGCAAGAGCAAAGATCATGTATATGATCATTTCAACAGATAAAAAAGGCCTTTGACAAAATCCAATATCTGTTCATGATAAAAAAAAGAAATTAGAGTAGGAATAAAAGGACTTTATCTCAATCTGATAAAAGCCATTTGTGACAAACCTGTTTAGGCAAGTGCAGAGGGGTCTGGGGTTGATTCCTGGCACCACATGCTGCACTGGCTCTTCCACCAGGCATGCTGAGCCAGCCACCCATACTGGGTGTGGTGGTGCATGCCTGTAATCCCAGTGCTGGTCACTACAAGTCCGAGCTGTGTAGTGAGACCCTGCACCAAATAAATTCAAACAAACAAAAACCCTACCAGTAATTCTGGGTTTCAGTACAATCAAAATTGGGGCCAACCCTGGAATTTGTGCCCTTGTGGTTCTTCTGATTCTATGAACCACAGCCCAGAACAAACTCCAGGCTAACCCAGATGGTGTTTGATGTTACACCAAACATCAAAACAATGAATGGCTCCTTAGGTCTTCATAGTAAAATGAAGTTTTCCTGGAGAGGTTTTTCTGTTTGTTTGTTTTTGGTGCTGTGAATAGAATCATGACCTCATGCTTACAAGGCAGGTGCTGTGCTTCTGAGCTATATCCCTGGCCCCCAAGAGATATTTTGTATATGAAATTTTCACACTTAATTCTGAGGGAAATTTCTTTTAAAAAAATGAAAACTTTATATTGAAATTACTTCCCCAGATATTTTCCATTTTATCATAAAGACCTTAAAGTTGTGAATACATGTTGAGAGGCTGAGATAGAAAGATTCCAAGTTTGAGCCCAGCCCAGAAAACATAGGCTTTTTTATATGTTTAAAAAGCTTTCTAAATAGTAACTTGAAATGTTTGTGTTGTCTTACTCATAAGTTTGCCTTCATGGGATGATTGCTGAATGCACCCTTAATAATGTTGCATTTTCTCTAGTCTATCATTATATCAGTTTTTTCTTCTATCCTTCTATTCATATACCTTTGATATCTATGCTAAGATTTCCTGAAAGACACAGGCTGCCCAGTTTTAAATTTCAATTTCAAATAAATAACAGAAAATACTTTGGTATAACTATGCTCCATGTCATTAAAACTTAGCTAAGCATCCCGACATTTTATTTTCTAAATGTGGTGGCCCTAATCCCTTTGTGTCTGTGTGTTTATATAACATAATTCTTTTTTTTTGATTGAACTCAGACCCTTGCGCTTGCCAGGCAAATGCTTATTCTACTGAGCCATCTCCCCGACCCCTATATAACATAATTCTAGACCTAAATCTTTATCAGTATTCTTAGTAATTGTTAATATACAATACCTTTCTCTCCCAAGACCATGGTTGTTACCATCCCTACTGTAAACCAGAGTCAGATCCTTCTGTTATCACTGCCATCTTGGGGAGGTACAGACATAGCATTCCCTTTTGTTTCAACTTGTGGGGGAAAAATCTTGTATTTTTCTGGGTTCCTGTTGCATGGAATATTGTTTTTCATCCTTTGACTTTTCATTCTATGAGTTTCTTTGTTAATTAAATGCGTTTCTTGTATGTAGCATATTATTGGATCTTGCTCTTGATACATTCTGCCAGTCTGTCTTTTGTTTGATGAATGGAGACCATTACCATTGATGATTATAGCTGATATGTGTTTTTTGACAGTTTCAAAACAGATTAATAGGACAGTTTCAATAATTAATACATTGCATATTGGTGTCTTCATAGTAGTTATTCATAGTACAAGATGCAGATATGATATCCTGTCCAAACTCTATTAGAACAAATCTTCTCATTGAATTAAGAGAAAGTAGCTGTATATCTATCCTATTTTGTATATACAGATATAAAATGGTACTGATATGTATTGATTTATCCTTGTCATGTTATTTTCCAATTGTTGGCTACCTACCCACCCCCACCTTTTTCCCTGCCTCTGTTTGATTGCCTTGCCTGGTGGATTCCTTCTGTTGGGATTCATGAAGTTCTAGTCCTTGTTATCTCTGCTGGTTTGGTGGTCATAAATTTCCTCAGATGTTCTTTGTCATGGAAGTATCTTTATTTCTCTACCAGTTTTGAAGGATAGTTCTGTGAGGTACATCAATCTGGGTTGAAAGTTGTTTTACCTTAAAATTTGAAATACTTCACCCCACATTCTCCTTGACTTGAGGGCTTGTTCAGAGAAGTCAGCTATGATTCTAATGGGCTTTCCATTATAGGTGATTTTGTTCCCCCTAATAGTTTTTAGGATTCTATTTTTAAAAATTAATTTAATTGAGAAACAAATAGCAATGAGACAGCTTCAAAACAGGTAAGTAGGACAGTTATAATAATTAATACACTGCATATTGTTGTCTTTGTAGTAGTTATTCATAGTACAAGATGCAGACATGATATCTTGTCTAAACACTATTAGTACAAATCTTTCTTCTCATTGAATTAAGAGAAAGTAGCTGTACAACTACCCTATTTTGTATATACAGATATAAAATGATCC